TAAAGTTTAAGTAATCTGACTTGAAACAAATATTAATTACTTTTAGTTTAAAATATTGCAAAAAAGCATTTTATAACACGGAGGTGGTTTTTTTTTATGAGGTGATGACAACTTTCTCGATAGACTTACGTTTGGCAATTTCTACTATGAGCGACATAACTAAAAAATTACTTGAATCTAACGTGAGCGCCTTTTTATATGATTTTTTAACTACTCAGTAATCTTAAATATTAGGAAAATATTCTAAGTAATCAAATATTTTATTGAATTTTAGATACTTTGGCTTTATAGTCTTGCTTACGAAGACGCTTTTTGAAAAAATGTTAAATAATTACTAGTAAATTTTAAATTTAATTTAGTTTCCGATTTTATTTTCTGATAATGCCGTGTATGGTCGTCCATATTTTTACAAAATCGGCACATTTATACACAGACAAAAAAAATCTAACGTTTTTAAAGTTTTTATTTCAGTTTTAATTTCAAATCGATTAAATTTAATATTTCTAATAAATAATATACTTTACTCTATTTCCAAACTAATTGAAATTGGCTGGAACGAGTTTTTTAATCGTTAAACATCACTGATTTTAACCATTTTTAGAAATCTGTCATCGCAATGTAATTCTCTGTGTCAAAAAAATCATTCAACAATAAAATATACTTTTTTGAAACTTTACTTGAGGAATATTAACTGATTTAAAGTTTAATTAATCTGATTTCAAACAAATATTACGTACTTTTAGTTTAAAATTTCGCAGAAATTCATTTTTTAAGATGGTGGGTAGGTGCTTTATTAGGTGTTGACAGCTCTAGTGACAGATTGACAGCCGGAAATTTAATTAATTTTTTTCTATGGAAGACACATCTAAAAATTACTTGAAGAAATGATCACTTTATTATGTAACTTTTAATTACTCAGTAATCTTAAAAAATATAGGAGAATATTCTGTGTAATCTAATGATTGATTGAATTTTATGTACTTTGGCATTAAATTTGCTACAGTTACCGCTCCTATATTCTGATAATGTCGTGTGTGGACGTCTGCATTTACAAAAATCGACACGTTTATACACAAACACAAAAATTAACAATTTAAAAAAAAAATATTTAGGATCGCAGAATTGAAGTAAGCTTTTGCTTTTATGATTAGTAAATATAGTTTTTACCTAATAAAAATATCATCTAACCTCTACAAATTAATACAGAATTTTAAAAGATTTAAAACTTCATAAATGATTCTAATTAAAACTTTTTCTTTTAAAATTTCATTATTCATCGAAAAAAAAAGATTTTCTTGGGGCAATAGCGTCTATAATATATCTTATTCATATATATATATTCATATAATATATCTTATTCATAAAAGTAATTAAAAGCTTTCCTATTTTTATAATGTCTCAGTTTATTGCATTTATTTATTTTACGATTCAGAGCATATTTTCTGTAGTTGGGGATCATGTTTTACAAAAAAATTGATGATTTAAATTCTCCAAAGATTTGTGCTTATAATTAATATAAAGATTAAACACTAAAAAAAGATGAATCACTCAAATTTTCATAAAATTAAATACGTGGATGGGGCAAGTAAGAAGTGCAAAAGCAATATTTTTATCACGATTTTTTTAAAAAAAGTAACGTTTCTAAAATAATTTAATTCATTTGCGAACGGTTCATTAAAATCCGACAATTATTTGATTTTTGCAAAATTTTCCAAATCAACGTTCTTTTCACCGTAAAAATGACGCTAAAATTCCCAATAGTAATTTATGGCCACTCACATACACAAGAAAAGCATAATTTTTTTTTAGCAAAGTTTCGAAGGTTCCAAAAAAGGATTTAAAAAAAGAATTTAATAATAAAAAATCCTTTGGTCTTTCCGCTTAATAATAATAAAGATATTTCAACGATTTTTATTATCTTTATGGCTATTTTTTCATCATGTATGCTCATTTTTAGCGAATCTTTGGAGGCGCGCGCGCACACACACACACACATATATATATGTATATATAATATAACGTACATAGGGCGCCGGTGTTAATAAAATAGTGCTCGAGCTATGACACAGCTATTAAATATAATATACACAATATATATACATATGGTCACATTGGAATAATAATTTGATGTGCTTATTTTTTTGTAGACCGTGGGTGTATTGGAAGGATATTCTATATAAAACCATTTAAAATATATATATATCGTATTGTTTAAATTTCCTGTATATATGAAGGAAGGTACAGCAATTGCAGTCATAGATATCAGTACTGCATAATGGATGTCAGTTTCTTTTTCACGTTCAGTAACTATCGCCTTTTTCAGTATTGATAGGAGTTTCCAACCTAACCTTTTATCTGACAATGTGGACTGTTATCATCTTGATTATGTCCTTATCTTCTCTTCAAGTGACATGTGCAATCCATTTTATTTGTTCTTCTAGTATAGGTTGGTTAATATGAATTTCACTTTGAAAACATTGACTTAATAATTGACGATCATATGGCATCCCAAATTATCTATCTATCTATCTATCTATCTATCTATCTATCTATCTATCTATCTATCTCCGTCTGTTCATCTATCAATCTCCGTCTGTTCATCTATCTATCTATCTATCTATCTATCTATCTATCTATCTATCTATCTATCTCCGTCTGTTCATCTATCAATCTCCGTCTGTTCATCTATCAATCTCCGTCTGTTCATCTATCTATCTATCTATCTCTGTTCATCTGTCTATCTCCGTCTGTTTCATCTATCTATCTATCTATCTATCTATCTATCTATCTATCTATCTCTGTTCATCTGTCTATCTCCGTCTGTTCATCTATCTATCTATCTATCTATCTATCTATCTATCTATCTATCTATCTCCGTCTCTTTATCGATCTATCTAACCAGCTAGCTATAAAATCTAGCTGTTTCCCCAAAACGCAGGGAGCGAATGTATTTCAGGTATTTGCCGCTACCATCTATGAACAAATAGTCCATCAAGGAAATAGTCAACCAACATGACAAAAGAGAATAAGAGGAAGATGGTGTTTGTAGACAGTAAAATTATAGATCCTTTTAAATTTGATTATATCTAGACAAATTTAAAGAATTCTTGTAAGTTCTTGTTTGGATGTTTATTGAGTGTAACAGGCTATAAGCATGAAGATTTAAACTAAAGAATCTACTCACACAAAACTCTCTATCTGATCACATTCTGTAAAGCTGTTTATTGTTCATCTTGTCAAAAAAAGGCTTCAAAGACACTAAACTAATGAAATAGACTCCAATCTCACCAGATATTATTACTAGTAAAAAACTCATTTACTATCATTAAAAAGGTGTATATGACAACGAAAAACAATATTTATGCAAAGAAAATCTTTTGTAAGCAATAAAAATGATGCAAGTAAATTTAAAGCCGAAGCAGTAGATAAAGATTATGGAATGGCAAGGAGTCCATACTAACAGATAAAATAATAATTTATTCAGCTATATGCGAAATATTTATATATATATATATATATAGTCATCCACAGACCACACTGTTTCGCTGTATCACAGCTTCTCAGTGTGGTTAGACGTCCGATTACTTCAAGCTGGGATCGAAACCCGACTCATTTGACATCAGTCAGATATCTTATCTCTAGGATCGTCGTGGCACGGCAAAAACGAGGGAAATTTTAACGTTTTTCTCTATACGAAATACACCAGCGGCTGCTCGGATAACAATTCCATTTACTTGAAGAGTATACCAACACACACACACACAGATATATATATATATATATATATATATATATATATATATATATATATATATATATATATATATATATATATATTAATTATTTTAGCCCAGGCCACTAAGACGCAAGACGTTGCTGAGTTTGAAACAATATGAGAAAAGTTTAACATTATTAAGGAGATCTTGGGATTTTTTTATAAAAATTTATGTTGTACATAGTTTGTACAATAAACCCTGAATACACCCACCTAAAAATAAATCATTATAAAGCCTTTTATTAAGAATAGATAATTTGCGTAAAAAACTCATACAATATATTGCTTTGTTAATATAAATTTTATTGTGTAAACATCGGAATGTTTATTAGAATTTGTCATCTGATAAATAGATAGATAAATAGATAGATAGATAGATATGAATAGACAGACATAAAGGTGTTACGCAAAGGCACAAGCAATTATAATAAAATTAGATGTTCATCTCTCAAGTCACCCATCGTTTTCAGCGAATTATTGAACACTTCTCTTCAAAATAATTCAAGCAAGAAATAAAGAACCACCTTTGTGCTCAATTTTCGTCTAATTTAAGGTAGAAATTTCCTTCCTGAAATATCCGAACTTTCAGGTGTTATTATATATATATATATATATATATGGGGAGTAGGGGGTGTATGTGTTTGTGAGTGTGTGTGTGTGTATGCACAGTTTCAAATATATATTATATTATGTCTTTCTTCAAATGAAAATCGCCAAAGATTACGTATAGATAATCGTTTAGACAAGAGAACATTGTGACCGACTAGAACAAGAAATGAAAAAACATGAATTCAATGTTGGAAGCACCAAAATATACATTCGTATGCACTGAACATAACGTAAAAGTAAAGAAAAATAGTTCAAAGTGTCAATTTTACACTTGTACCTGTGTGAGCGCATTTTTGTGGATGAATTGCTCGATGATTAACCCCAAAAGAAAAAATATCGTCTGCTATTAATCATTATTATACATGAGACTTCTGCGCAGATTTTTTATATTCAAAAGCATGGTTTTCATTAAAAATTAAACAATAAAATGGAACTACTAAAGGAATAGTTTATTCGATAAAAGCGAAAAATAACATAAAAGTTGTTTCTTACCGGCCAGAGGTAGCATCCTTCAATCCGGATTGAGATTGACGGCCCACAAGTCAATTGGCGCCTTTTTGTCCTACGAAAACTTTACTTTTAACTATTGCTATTGCTGTCGATATTTGATCGCTGAAATTGTATTGTTCCCGTCTTATAAATTTGTTTCTTTTTCTCTTTTATGTATTTATGTGTCTCTTTTCAGTTTTACTTTTTAAAACTTTTCTGGCGTTTTTTTTATTTTTAATATTTTTTTTATTTTTATCGGTCTATGATTTTAGTCTCGGCAAATCAAAAGACAAGAAATCCTGATTGTGATTCAAATTAAAACGGATTAAAAATTAGATTGGTCTTGAAACTGATCGCTTTTCGATATTCGGTGATAAAACCAGTGAGTTGAGGTGCCAATGGTGACAGTAAATGAAGCTTCGGGTTTCGAACCGTTTACCAAATGCTTTCCTTTTCAGAAAGCGTGTAATGCGGCACCGAATACCAATAGAAACGAACATCGGCCATCCGCCCTGTTCAAGCCAAACATATCACATTACCAAAGTGGGTCATAATGGCGAGATAACAAGTTTGGGAAGCGGCTGTGATTTTGCGCAAAACTGTGGAGGGGATGGACATGGTTGCGGCGCTAGTTATAGGGAGGGGTTGACAGTTTTGCATAACGGGCCCGTGGGAGCTATGCGACAATGGTGGTGGCGATGGAGGTGAAGCACGGGGGTCAGGAGTTGGATGGCCAAGCTGGGAAGCAACTGAGGACCGGAAGAATTATTAGTCGGAGGAAGTACAAAAATCTGTCTCCAGTATACGCAATCTCGTGTACTTATTTCTCTTTTGATTTCTATTCTCTTTCTCCCTCTTCCCTCACTCCCTCTCTTTCTCCACACACACACACACATATGTGTGTGTGTGTGTGTCTGTGCTCTTCGTAGAATGTTTGATGCCAAACCATTCTCGTAGACTATTCGCAACAGCAGTAAGTTCATTCTTTATTATCTAGACTTGCTCAATGAAAAACTTTACAATTATGCATTCAATCTCTAGTTTTCAAACATTTTTTTGCGAAAACATATATATATATATATATATATATATATAATAACTGGCCACTAGGGCGGCTAGCCGATCCCTATTGCAGACTCTCGCTCAGGCACATTTGTGTTTGATCAACGCCCACAGAGCCCACCTGTGGTTTATACTGCAACTATGCTGAGAAGACCTTAGTTACATTTTCTAGCGTGATCAACAATTTGAACAAAGCCCGCACGCTCAAGCCCTCGGACACGATGACTTGTGGCTTTATGCTAGCACAGTTATCGACGGCCCTCAAGAGTTCTGTCTACCCAATATCACTCACAAGGTGTCGGTTTCAGGCACTTTCCAAAGGTGCTGCTCGCTGGGATCGACCTCGATCCATTCTGAGAACATCAGGAGGTCTCCTTCCTAACAAATTGACCATGATGAGATTCGACCCGAGCGCCTCATGGTCAGAAAGCGAACATTCTAACTACTCTCGCTATATATATATATATATATATATATATATATATATATATATATATATATATATATATATATATATATATATATATATATATATTTCATTTAAAACGACAGACAAGGTACTACGATTAAGCTTTTTATTTAATTTTTCTTGTATTTCTTTTTGGGACACAAAGTGTGTAGAACTGTCCAAATGAAAGCACTTGTTTAACACAAGAAAAATTAAATAAAAAGCTTAATCGTAGTACATTGTCTGTCGTTTTTAATAAAACATGAATAAATGAAGGATTGCTGCCTAAATACACAATATACTCGACTCTCCCCGTCGAATTCGACGTACGAGGGTCAAGCAGATCAGTTCCTAGGAGCCAACAGACTGAGACCAGCACGGAGATTTGATTATAGTGGTGAAGGTTTTATGCAAAACAATCCACACTTTTTGAAGGGCCGAATACAGAGACTGCATGCCACAAGGTCTCCAAACAACCCTCTGCAGGTTTTAAATTCAGAGTTGTCCTTCTCCTAGACCAGTTGCCATACAAGGCTATAGAACCAATCTGTGCTGATATTTACCCATAGCTGGAGGGAGAAGAAGAGGATTCATACCTTTCCCAAGAAAGTGAATGGATTCGACTGGAATTCGAACTCAGCTCTCCGATTCCTAAATTCGAGCCGCTATCCACTACTAACGTATCCTCTCCTTCAATACGCAATATATATATATATATATATATATGTGTGTGTGTGTGTGTGTGTGCGTGTTTTTGTTGGTGTAGATGCTCACGCATACACAATGGGATAGACGTAAAGAAATGAAAAACGGACAAATTGTATAACGAGCGTTTCTTTTTCTGAAATTTGAATAACGAACTGAGTATGCATGCGTATAAATGGCTTAGACCGTCCTCAACGCCGACTCAGTCTCCGTATTGCACTTGTCTTGTGTCGTAAACTGTGACATTTGATTGTAAATCTCCATGTTTTATATTGAAAATAATAATTATTATTTTACTGAGAACATAACCATAAGTAGACAGAAGCGAATGAAATGTCTTGGGTTAATTATAATGATGGGACAGCACCAAGCTCGTTCTGTTAGCCCACCTAAAACGTCTTCATTATTGCGTTAACACGTGTAAGAGGTGTGGAATAATGTATTGCAAGATGCCATTTGCCTTCTTTTACAATCATATACACGCGAGAGTACTTTTTTTTTCACAGTAAGGGCCGCCCTATACAATGACCAGGGGCCACTCAAGGTAGAGGTTTATGTAAATGGGTAGGTTGTTAAGATTGTAGTAACATCTACTAAGATTGTAGTTACTTCTCACCAGTGGAATATGGTGGGAATGTCTGTGGTCTGCTACAAAGTAAGGGGCATGACCGGTCTTAGCTGTAATGGTTAAACATGGCGGAATCAAAGAATATAGTTCTTCTGTGTCTGTGTTAATACCCAAGGAGGATATACTAGGTATTAGTATGGATTCTATGTAATGTACATACATCCCTTATTTTGGAACCTACTTGGTTTCAGTGAGAAAACGAAAGAAAGAAAGATACAGTGAAACAGAAAAAGTTGTAAATTTCCAATATTTTTATTTGCATACATTTACTTCTTAAAATAACGACTAGCATTCATATTT